AGTCGATTGTGATATGTATCACATATATCCTGTAATACATATTGATTACCGGTGTAAATAATGGCTACAGTAGGCCTACCATGTTTTATTAACCCCGGACATCGAGGCATTTCCGTGCCTGAGACGTTCTCTCTCGTCTGCATCGTCAGACGAGAGAGTACGTCTCCTCCCCTTTCCCACGCAGGGAAAGACCAGCCAGACCCTTCCCATCCCCCTCGCGTGAGCTCTGAACCCCACCCCCTCGTCATCTGTTCACCCCCCCCCCCCCTCCCATAATTAAAGACTACCGCAACAACTGCCCCCCAACCCCCTTTGTGGTTACAGAATCTGTAATCTAGCCAGCTTCTCGCCAGAAGATTTACCATACACGACCTTAAGCATTGCTAATTAAACCATATCCCCCCTCCCTCCCTTTCCATCCCTTCCCTTATCCCCAGAACCACCATTCATCACCCTCCCTCCATCCCATTAGCCTCCAAATCCCTTCCATCAGCCCCAAAACTACCATTCATTGCCCCCTCTCAGCCCAAAAGCTACCATTCATCACCCCCTCCCTCCCATCCCACAGCCCCAAAACCACCAATTCATCACCCACCCTCCATCCCATTAGCCCCCCCCCTCCATCCCTTCCCTCAGCCCCAGACCCATCAATTCATCACCCTCCCAACCCTGCCACCCGACAACACCAAGGACAACAAGACAGGTATGAAGAGATGTAAATAGACAAGCCCCTCAAAACTTGTTAGTTTTTATAGGCACAAAAACAGGTACTGGGTGTGCATCTTCCAATACCTGTCAGTACCAGCATATACCTTCAAGAAAACCAACGCTAGAAACAGCCAGTGTGAACCAAAGACATCAAGAAAAGCAGAAGACATTGCCCACCGTATGATTAAACAATACAGAAGCTCCGTGACTCGACATGCAACCAATGAACATCAGACTTCAGACATCAGACTCAAGCCACCACAGTGTGTAAGACCATCGAAATGATAAAGGAACCATTTTAGAACTAACCCTTAGATGAGACCTCCCTATATACAGGCGATGAATCACAATAAAGTATGTTGACCAGACCATACACAAGAAGGTGAAGGGACGACGACGTTTCGGTCCGTCCTGGACCATTCTCAAGTTGATTGTGACTTGTCGATTATCACAATCTACTTGAGAATGGTCCAGGACGGACCGAAACGTCGTCGTCCCTTCACCTTCTAGTGTGGGGTCTGGTTAACCTCCCTGTATACTCCCACAGGTGGTGGCCCAGGAGCTCGAGTCTGCTCTTGGGTAAACAATTCGCTCGATACGGCAAGTCTACGATGGAGTGTAGATGCATTGGGTAACTGAACCACTCGCCACCACCCTAAGAATGTCTTGTAGGAGTGAAAGCGCTCCCAGCAAACCCAAGCAACAAAGTCGTTCATTTTTAATTGTAATTTATGCCCCGAGGGGCGAGTTTATTGGGCAGCGTCACTCATCCTGTGAGTGGACACACCGCCATAGTGACAGTATTGGGCAGCGTCACTCATCCTGTGAGTGGACACACCGCCATAGTGACAGTATTGGGCATCGCCACTCATCCTGTGAGTGGACACACCGCCATAGTGACAGTATTGGGCAGCGCCACTCATCCTGTGAGTGGACACACCGCCATAGCAGCATGTACAACACTCCCCAATAGGAAGAAAACCCGCTGGGTTGTTCATCCTGTCACTTGTACCCAGACACCAACCACAGCATGATACATCAAATGAACAAATCCACAAGGGCTGTGATGAGGATTCGAACCTACGTTTAGTATAATCCCAAACGCGCCTTAGTCTGGGATATAAAGGCGCATCTTGGACGTAGGTTCAAACCCTCATCACGGCCCTTGTGGATTTGTTCACTACCCAGTTGACCTGCGCGCGCACCTAGGCCTCAGGTCGCGTCCTGATTAGCGGTCCACCCTACGGGCTCGCCATAGCCCGTGCTACATGGATATTTCGTTCTGAGTAGCTAGATCTAACAAGAACAACGGTCCACCGCAGTTTAATAACGGTGGTCCAGTAACGACCTTTTATTACCTGGCGGGGGAACTGCTCCTACCTTCTGGGAGAAACTGGGCCCCGCTCATGCGGTCACCTGACTGGTGGATACCTGGTTGATGGGGTTCTGGGAGTTTTTCTACTCCCCAAGCCCGGCCCGAGGCCAGGCTCGACTTGTGAGTGTTTGGTCCACCAGGCTGTTGCTTGGAGCGGCCCGCAGGCCCACATATCCACCACGGCCCGGGTGGTCCGGCACTCCTTGGAGGAAACAATGCTCTACTCATCAGCCTGGTTTGCAACCTGCAGTTTGCATAGAAATATAAAATGTGTTGACCAGACCACACACTAGAAACTGAAGGGACGACGACGACGTTTCGGTCCGTCCTGGACCATTCTCAAGTCGATTGAGAATGGTCCAGGACGGACCGAAACGTCGTCGTCGTCCCTTCACCTTCTAGTGTGTGCTCTGGTCAACTGGTATTTGTATTATGTATTTGCAAGCACAATAATGTTTGAGAGTGCCTGTGCTTGCCCTGTACACCCCTGCCCCCGCCCTCCCTCCCTCACACGACACACACCACCAGCAGTAATGACTCAGAAGACACCGTAAATACCTTAACATTCAAGGCTCAACCCGCGCGCCACTCGCCCTCTGGCTAACTAACACCTTCCAACAATTACCTCAAATACACTAAAGTGGCGTCAAGATTTAATAATCTGGCGAAGCAATTGGTTTCAAAACGGTAATAACTCAAAGGGATTTGACTATCTTCAACATTCATCAAGGACCAGCCAACTGCAGTCAAGTTTCCAGTGGTGGGCAAGCTGTGGTAGTGACCAAGACTAGAACCGCGTCCAACAGCCTGGTTGATCAGTCCAGCAACCAGGAGGCCTGGTCGACGACCGGGCCGCGGGGACGCTAAGCCCCGGAAGCACCTCAAGGTAAGAACCCCCAGACTCCAAGAGTGCGCTGGTTACTGAACCTTGCCATTTTTTTTTTTTTTTTAGATATATACAAGAGTTGTTACATTCTTGTACAGCCACTAGTACGCGTAGCGTTTCGGGCAGGTCCCTGGAATACGATCCCCGCCGCGAAGAATCGTTTTTTCATCCAAGTACACATTTTACTGTTGCATTAAACAGAGGCTACAGTTAAGGAATTGCGCCCAGTAAATCCTCCCCGGCCAGGATACGAACCCATGACATAGCGCTCGCGGAACGTCAGGCGAGTGTCTTACCACTATACCACAGAGACTAAGTTAACAAGACAATGTTTACATCACGTGACCTGCTTACGTCACAGACTCCTTCACATTATAGCTTGGCCTTGGAGGTCTTTAGCAACCCTCTCTGTTTCTCCAACATTAACAAAAAAACAGATGAAACAGTATATATATATTTTTTCCAGGAAGCCTTGAGAACGTGCCACACAAAAGATTGCGAAGCCCAACTCTCACGGTATTGTGACATGATCAAAAGGCAACAATAACGGGCTCACCATAGCCCGTGCTACTTGGAACTTTTTGTTCCAAGTAGCGAATCTTAAAACAACGACTGGTAACCGAGGGGTCGTGGCTTGGTACTCTTAAGTCTACACAATGCCACTGTATGAATGCTACCTTACCTTGAGGTTACCTTGAGGTGCTTCCGGGGCTTAGCGTCCCCGCGGCCCGGTCGTCGACCAGGCCTCCTGGTTGCTGGACTGATCAACCAGGCTGTTGGACGCGGCTGCTCGCAGCCTGACGTATGAGTCACAGCCTGGTTGATCAGGTATCCTTTGGAGGTGCTTATCCAGTTCTCTCTTGAACATACATCAGAGAGGGGCCGTATTTTAAGGAGAAATCTCTGCGGTATGCCAGTGACTACAGCCCTTGGAAGGTATACGAGGAGCGAGGGAAGGACTGGAGCTCAACCACCTGTACCATCGAGGGATTGAACTTGACCCTGCAAGGAGTCAACCTACTGCAGTTTCGATCAGGTCCAAGCGAATTATCTACAAGATGAGTGGCACTGCCCAATAAACTCGCCCCTCGGGGCAAAATTTAATTTAAATTTATGCGAATGTTTTAACATTAAAAAACTGATCGTACACGTCTACAGAATTAAAATGATCAAAATCGAGGCAGACAAGTTCAAATATATCAAAGTAAACAATCTTGCAATGATTAATAGTGATCTGGAAAACAAACAATGTCTACTTTTGTCTACTTTTAACAAATACCCAACAAGGTCGCTTCACATCTAGACAATTATAAAATGCGAAACATTCTACACACAAATCACCAATCAGAGTCAACAATAATATGTAGACGACACGTTTCTTGCCGTGTTTCGTCAGCTGTGTCCACTTCAAGAGTGACGGTGTTGACTCAAGTGTTGGTCAGCTCTTGCCAACCCGTCCTCTTAAAAATAACGTCGCTTTCCGCCCGTATGCGCGGCGCTATTGCCAAAAGTGGACGTAATTTGAAATGAAATCGACTCACAAAAGTGACGTACTGTCCCGTTTTCTGTTCCAGTCCTCCGGCCGCCTCAGAAAGGTTAGGAGAGGAAACTTTCATTTAACATTTTCCCCACACACCCTCCTCTGTGACCAGGCTTCAGAGCAGGAAGGAAGGAAGGAACTGTCAAGGGAAAGCGCCAAGCCATTACGACTATATAGCCCATGGAAGGGGTCAGGATAAGGATTTGGGATGTGACAGGGGGAAGGAATGGTACCCAAGCTTGAGAGAAAGACTCCTAACTATTTTTCCTCGAGAGAAAAGATGTTCTATTTACCAACAGAATTAATAGAATATCGAGTTAATTTGACCTTTGTTACCTGTGTTGTAAACTGAAAACCACTTTAAAAAAGCCCTTTGAGATTACTTGTGTCAATTGAAATTACAAATTGTATTATCTCTATACAAGCTTCAGCCAACACAGGAACCGGTTAGGCTATTCTAGCACCACTATTTACCCTATAATAATACTTACCCTATCAATATTATTATACAGGAGCTAGGGGTTGACAACGAGGGCTGGGAGCCCGGGAGCTAGAGGCTGACTAAGCTGGCTGATATTATAGATCCAGCTACTCTGAACACGTTCCAAGTAGCACAGGCTATGGTGAGCCCGAGAGGCTGATCACCGTGCCCGGGTCATATGGGTAGCGAGGCCAGGCTACACCACATGGTGCAAATTGTTGTATTTACCAACGTGTGACGTTGCATGATGCAACCGCGATAACACCCACATGTTGCAGTACATTTATCATGCTGCGTCCCCTCTGCTGGCGGCGGAGGCCCCCCCTTGCTGGCCGGGCGACGGCGGCCCCCCCCCTTGCTGGCCGGGCGACGGCGGCCCCCCCCTTGCTGGCCGGGCGACGGCGGCCCCCCCTTGCTGGCCGGGCGACGGCGGCAACCCCTACTGGCCGGGCGACGGCGGCCCCCCCCCCTTGCTGGCCGGGCGACGGCGGCCCCCCCTGCTGGCCGGGCGACGGCGGCCCCCCCCCCCTTGCTGGCCGGGCGACGGCGGCCCCCCACTTGCTGGCCGGGCGACGGCGGCCCCCCCTTGCTGGCCGGGCGACGGCGGCCCCCCCTTGCTGGCCGGGCGACGGCGGCCCCCCCTTGCTGGCCGGGCGACGGCGGCAACCCCTACTGGCCGGGCGACGGCGGCCCCCCCCCCTTGCTGGCCGGGCGACGGCGGCCCCCCCTGCTGGCCGGGCGACGGCGGCCCCCCCCCCCTTGCTGGCCGGGCGACGGCGGCCCCCCACTTGCTGGCCGGGCGACGGCGGCCCCCCCTTGCTGGCCGGGCGACGGCGGCCCCCCCTTGCTGGCCGGGCGACGGCGGCCCCCCCTTGCTGGCCGGGCGACGGCGGCCCCCCCTTGCTGGCCGGGCATCCTCTGGCCCGGCGCCGTTGCAAGTTACAGCACAAGAAATGGACAAATTGGCAAGAAAACATTGTAATTCCTCTTTTCCTATTATATATATATAACTTTTGACTCACTACGGGATAGTTTTATTTCCTACTGTGTTCAGGCCAAGAGTGTAGGACGCGGGTGGCGATTTCCACCCCCAGATCCCCCTCTCAGAACCAGTCCTCTGGCGTGGCCACAACGGATAAAGGAGGAAATGTACATGTTTATCTCTCAGAATGTTTGGTAATATGTTTATTGTTTGTGATGTGTGTATATATATGTATTAACACGATGTACTGAACGGGGTGAGAATAGCTTGAGCTACCTCATCCCTTTCTGTGTATCACAATTACTTTGTATCAGTATTGTGTGTTAACCTCAAACTTATTTCGATTTCAACGGATAAAGGGCTACCAAATCGCGCGAAGCCAAGCTACCAATCTTACTTAGCGACGTAAGCATAGAAAACGTGATTGCTTGTGAGCGAGAGCCTTCTTTTAATTAGTGCCCCATTATTTTATCCGTTTATGATCCCAGGCGTCAAAATAAGTTTAAATACAGGTACCAGTTTTTCCTACTGGGAACTTCCCCTCCCCCCAGCCAGCAAGTCATCGAGGAGGGGTCCTCTACCCCTTCCCCTCTATTACCTGGGTCATAAGGCTCCCCTCTGAGGTCATGACCTCTGCGTAGGGTGCAGTCGCACCTCCACAGATCTCCAGTATCAGCTCTTGATACTGGTAATGGCTCAAAAGGGCCACCACTTACGGGCTGTTCATACCCGTGCCACCTTTTCGCTGGCTTAATCTTCAACAATCAATCACCTCCCCTCACACACAGCACCGCTCCTGTGCCAGGTAAATCCATACGGGCTCACCATAGCCCGTGCTACTTGCCCCACTTCTGTGCCAAGTAAGCTACGAGCTCACCATAGCCCGTGCTACTTGCCCCGCTCCTGTGCCAGGTAAGCTACGGGCTCACCATAGCCCGTGCTACTTGCCCCGCTCCTGTGCCAGGTAAATCCATACGGGCTCACCATAGCCCGTGCTACTTGCCCCACTTCTGTGCCAAGTAAGCTACGGGCTCACCATAGCCCGTGCTACTTAGAACTTGTTCCCAGTAGCTGAATCTATAACAACCACCTCCCCTCTGATACCGGTGGCAGTGGCTAGGTTCTGGGGTCCTTGAAACATTCACACGTCAGATTCGGCCCAGTCAAAACTTAAAACAATGCTCCATTGAGTGTTTTACAGACCGATATCATTTATAAATTAATCCGGACAATTAAAAGATCAATCTATCAAAGGTTAAACACTGTCACGAATGAGTGAACATTTGCTGCGCCACACAAGTGTTCCCGCCAAGAAGCGTGACGCGGCAACTCCCCCCTCCGGCAAGAGACTAGTCAATCGTCTCTCAACAACTGAAACATCCCCCCCCCCCGGGAAGGGTTTCCGGCCCAGACCTGACACCCTAATCTCTCCTCTCGGGAGCCGGTCGGCCGAGCGGACAGCACGCTGGACTTGTGATCCAGTGGTCCTGGGTTCGATCCCAGGCGCCGGCGAGAAACAATGGGCAGAGTTTCTTTCACCCTATGCCCCTGTTACCTAGCAGTAAAATAGGTACCTGGGTGTTAGTCAGCTGTCACGGGCTGCTTCCTGGGGGTGGAGGCCTGGTCGAGGACCGTGCCGCGGGGACGCTAAGCCCCAAAATCATCTCAAGATAACCCAAATCTGTTATACCGAGATATTAAGTATGTAACTGGCTGTTAAGGTGTAATTGACAAACCTCAACGAGGCAGTTGGTGCAAGATGCAGACTTACGACACTGGAAACGTCTTGCATTCGTTCTTTTATCAACAAATTGTAGTCTATTATGCGCAAAGTTCACATAAAAAAGCCACAAGTTACCATATTGAGCGCCTGGTTACAACACACTCATTTGGTTCAGGGTTGGCTAAACCAGTGACAGGAATGTTGACCACACCACATACTAGAAGCTGAAGGGACGACGACGTTTGGCTCCGTCCTGGACCATTGTCAAGTCGAGAATGGTCCAGGACGGACTGAAATGTCGTCGTCCCTTCACCTTCTAGTGTGTGGTCTGGTCAACATACTTCAGCCACGTTATTGTGACTCCTCGCCTGCAGTGACAGGAATGTTGACCAGACCACATACTAGAAGCTGAAAGGACGACGACGTTTGGGTCCGTCCTGGACCATTCTCAAGTCGATAGTGAATGGTCCAGGACGACTATCTACTCGAGAATGGTCCAGGACGGACTGAAACGTCGTCGTCCCTTCACCTAGTGTGTAGTCTGGTCAACATACTTCAGCCACGTTATTGTGACTCCTCGTGTCGCCTGCAGTGACAGGAATGTATCAGAGGCCTCCGGAGAGCAGTGACCGCCGCCACTGTCATCCACTAATCAACCACCACCAGTCTTCACAAATACTGTTGCCAACACACCGATAACCTTGCAACCGCCACCCTCTTTTTCCTATTCCGAAAAATGTACATTATCATTGTTTAAATACCATTTGTAACGTTACTTGGTCAACACGGGCGGGTCAGAGGCGACCTTCAGCCGAACAAAGGCCCGCGTCTTCAAAACTGATCAATTTTCCATAACGGCTCCGAGTGCCAACTGCGTCGACAATCGACTCAAGAATGGTCCAGGACGGACCGAAACGTCGTCGTCCCTTCACCTTCTAGTGTGTGGTCTGGTCAACATACTTCAGCCACGTTATTGTGACTCCTCGCCTGCACCAACTTCGTCGTTATTTCTCAACCACCAGATAAACATTTCCTTGTAAAAAATCTATTCGCCAACTGTACTTATTATGCAAATATTTAAGTAGGGTATGGGTAAAGGATTTGTCCCACGAGACATCTCCCGTCACGCAGGGTGCAGTCGCACCTCCACAGATCTCCAGTATCATCTATTGATACTGGTAATGGCTCAAAAGGGGCCACTACTTACGGGCTATTCATGCCCGTGCCACCTTTTGGCTGGCTTAATCTTCATCAAAGAATTTGTCTATTTCCACTTATGAATAACTATAAACAAGGTCGATAATAGTGTTTTGAACACCCAGTTATCTGGGTTGAGACAACTGGAGGATCCAGACAATTTAAAGACAAAGTTTGGTGTCAGGGGGGGGGGGTGGGACTGGTGCCAGCCAATCTGTCTCCAGACTCCCGTCTCCGGAGCAGCTTCCAGCCTCCGGCAACAGGCACTGACGTGAGCGCCAGAGGGCATTCTCCCGGCTGTCGAGTGACCAGCTGTTTTTTTTAAGATTCAGCTACTGGGAACAAAACGTTCCAAGTAGCACATGCTATGGTGAGCCCGTAGTGGACTTACCTGGCACAGGAGCGGGGCAAGTAGCACGGGCTATGGTGAGCCCGTAGTGGACTTACCTGGCACAGGAGCGGGGCAAGTAGGACATGCTATGGTGAGCCCGTAGTGGACTTACCTGGCACAGGAGCGGGGCAAGTAGCACGGGCTATGGTGAGCCCGTAGTGGACTTACCTGGCACAGGAGCGGGGCAAGTAGCACGGGCTATGGTGAGCCCGCAGTGGACTTGCCTGGCACAGGGGCGGGGCAAGTAGCACGGGCTATGGTGAGCCCGTAGTGGACTTACCTGGCACAGGAGCTGGGCAAGTAGCACGGGCTATGGTGAGCCCGTAGTGGACTTGCCTGGCACAGGAGCGGGGCAAGTAGCACGGGCTATGGTGAGCCCGTAGTGGACTTACCTGGCACAGGAGCTGGGCAAGTAGCACGGGCTATGGTGAGCCCGTAGTGGACTTACCTGGCACCGGAGCGGGGCAAGTAGCACGGGCTATGGTGAACCCGTAGTGGACTTACCTGGCACAGGAGCGGGGCAAGTAGGACGGGCTATGGTGAGCCCGTAGTGGACTTACCTGGCACAGGAGCGGGGCTGTAACTAGGTGACCAGCTCTGTGGTGGTTATATTATAGTTCTGAGGTGAGGGATATAGTATAGGCGAGGGCAGCGTGTCCCTGTGTGGTGTCGCCGCCATTCTCTACATAGATAACATCTTACACGTCTAATCGCATCCTCCGGAGAACAGACTTTCAGAGGACAGGTTCTAAGCAGCCACCGAGAAGATAACAGCTTTACATAAAGTGCTCATATAGCAAGGACAACTGCTATCACCAGCCAAATCATTTCAAGGTGAAAGGGGTCGCATCCTCTGTGCTTTTGAAGGTCAGAAGGACAGGAAGGGTGGTGTGGATGGAGGATAAAAAGACTTGTTATTCAACACTAATATTTGGTTTTATGCGCACTCTGGTCTTTCGATAAACCATGGCCCACTAGCAGCCAATCTGGAGAGTCCTCGAAAGCCACACACTGAACTACCCAGAGCTCC